GGTGTGAACTGGCCGGCCGGGCGGGAGCTCCGGGAACGCTCCTAGCAGCAGGGCCCGGCCGTGGTCCCCGCAGCCCTGGCGGTGGGTTATTTCTGCTGCAGCGGCGCTCCCCTCCCCTTCCCTTCGTGTTTCAGACCCGCAGCAGTGCAGTAACGTAACCTGAGGGTGAACAAAGAGCAGGTGCCCATTAACCGTTCCCGCTCGGACACTGCAGTGTGCAGATCCCGCTCAGACTCCCTCTCCCTTGCAGGCCACAGCAACAGACCGGGTGGTTGGATTCGGCTTGGGTGCCTTCCGCCTCGTCCTCTTCTTCAGCCTCGTCCTCTTCATTTACTACACCCTCTGGATCATCATTCTGGTACGCGTCTCCTCTGGCTGTTATAATCCCAGTCACTTCACGCTCAGGGGTTTGTCTAGGCTTTGTTTAGGTGCTGATGTGTCCGTGTGCCTGAAAGACTCTGCCTTGTCAGCTTCCTGGTTAAAAATTTCAGGGAAAGGCTTCCTCTGTTTGATGGCACAGCCCTTGTCCCTTCTGGGTGTGCCTGCCCTTACCTGGGCAAGACCGAGCTTCAGTCATGCCACCTGTCCCGCTGCTCTAAGACAGGCTGACACGGCCAGTGTTAGATCCGAGGCTCACTCAAAGCATCAGCGAGAGGTCAAGTCTGATCCCTCTGGAAATGTTGTCATTGGTGTCCACATTTGCAGTCTTCCAGATTGTTGTCTCCGACCAGAACAAGCGGAGGGAAACATAAAAAGAGATGACTCTCACTAAATCTGGAGCCTGGTAGGAAGAAGAGTTTAAGGAATGCAGAGCTCTGGAAAAGTGATTGTGAGCCTGATAGTTTGCCCACATCTGGGGACACATCAGCTAGAGTCATTAGTGGTTTTCTTCCTGGAAAGAAACATCTACTCATGAGCTTTCCAGGTCCGAGAGGCCTGGTTCAGCCCTGGGCCGATGTCTGAACTCCTAGCAGCTTCCCCTCCAAGCTCTGAGAGCTTTGAATTCCACTCTTGCCTCTGCTTACTGGGTTGTCCGACACACGTTTATACACCTCTGTAGTCCCGGGAGCGCGTAGGTGTGCTCGCTGCTGTGTAGGGATCCTTACACTGCTCTCTAGTGTCCAGAGCCTTCCACTGGCCTCCGCAGAGGGATCCTGGTGGGATCCCCGTGAAACTGAGCCAGTATCGGCTGCTCCCTTCTCCAGGGCAGAGAGTCCGGGGATTTGCTGTGTTTAGCACCAAGTGGACCAGCAGCTGTGCCCACCCTGAGACCCCAGGGCTGTGGGACCCCTGTGCCAGCCTCATGTAGCTGCCCCTGGTTGTCTGCTGAACACTGGAGCCTTTGCTGCCTGCCTGCTGTTGTGTCCCTGCAGCTGTGGGCTGAGTCACGTGTGGGTCTGGGCACCCTTCTTTTTTTTTTTAGCTATCTCCTCACACATGAAATTTCTGTCCTGCTTTCGAAATTACGAGGCTGCAGGTGTCAGGGACTTGCCCTGATGGCGTGCCCACCTGCTGATGCCCCTCTCTGTCTCCTGCAGCCCTTTATCGACAACGACCATGGGATCCACCGGTACTTCTTGCCTAGGGAGTATGCAGTTATCATCCCCGTGGTGGCTGGGCTGCTGCTGCTGCTATTTATAGGTGAGTGTTATTTCTGTTGTTCTAATTAGAAGCTTCTAAATTAGGAAGAGAGAAAAGCGTTGCTGGGGGGTTAGCTAATGTCTGACACTTGTGACACGCTCTCTGTGGCTACTGCTGCAGCTTAGCCTGGCACAGACTCTCAGGATGTATGTTTGTGTGTAACTTTGGCTGTTTGAGCCTCTGGACAGCGGAATTGTTTCTTGCTTGCCCTACTGAGGTTCTGTTTCTCACTACAATGTGTTTTAAAAGTGCCTGTAATTAGAAGTTTTCTAATTGAATCTGTTCTCTCGTGGTAGGCATTTTTATAATGGTCGTGATGTGGAAGAGCAGGAAACCTACCAAGAAATCGGACTGAAAGCCCAGTTGAGCGAGATGAGAAGGCGCCCACCCTGCAGCATCGTAGCCAGCAAGAGACTTTGCCTGCAGCACCGGGCAGGTGTCTCCTCCAGCGCGCTCAGCGCCGACTCGGCTGCGCTCTCCCACATTCCTTCCTGCAGAGACAAAGCCGCCTGTAGTTTACAACTTACTGACCAAAGGGAAGCAAAACTGACCCCCGGGGCTTATCAAGAGAGGGACCAGAGCCCCCGCTGTGAGGGCCC